ATCCAAATCACTCGTTTTACACACATTTTTGGGTTCATTGTACAGTTTTGAATATAATATTAAAAAAATATTGATAAAATATGTCACTTTGTTTACTAAATGATAGAAAAGGGGTCTTGTGAGGTAAAAGGTTGGGAATCAGCGGCTTTTCTATCATTGAGTGAACTGACGACCCCATAAGGGACATATTTTATGGATATTTCATATTATATTCAGTGTATAACAATAACAGTAGATAAAAACTGATTGAACCCAAACAGTGAACACAATAACTGCAGGAAGTTTGTGTAAAACGAGTGATTTGGATTCATTTTGAGCAGATTATTTGCTGTGAATAGTTGTGCTGTGATGAGTTTTCCTGATATTTTTAGGAACTTTTTATACAATTCAGTTTGTTTTATGTGTTTTATTTTTAACAATCATACAAACTTAATAGGCTTCTTTTTTGATTCATTCATTGTTCTATTACTAGTGAATATAACTTGTAATAATTTTGTTTCCTTTACAGAAATGAATGAACTGCTGATCTGTGTGTACATTTTAAAGGTTTCTTTCCTCGTGACCCTCACAAAGCTTTGGTGACCCCTGCTGGGGGTCGGGACCCACAAGGTTGGAAACCAGTGGTTTATAGTGAAGAACAAAGTCTCAGAGAGGCTGACATTTAACTCCCTATTTTAGTTTATTTGTGTCAGTAAAGAGACATTTTCTCCATCACGTTTTATTTTCTTTATGCTTTACATAGAAAAACGTTTAAAGTTGTAACACACAGAAACACCTTTAAAAGTCAGGAAATAGTTTAAATATGGTGAAAGAAACAACTAATTTTTATCAAATTGATAAAAAATTGTTTTAAATGTTTTTTTTTAACTTCTTCCTGCTTAAAATGTTTAAAAAATATATTTTTCCAAAAAATATACTTTATTTTTTTGTAGTTTTTCATGAGTTTGACATGAATATTTAGCATTAAGGAAAAAAGGCATTAATGCTCCTCTACAGACAATTGATTATCCACACTTTGCATAATATAACATAGATATTAAAGGGTAAGTCACACACTGTCAATGAGTCATAATAATCAATATCAGACAATCACTTGAAGGACTTCAACGGCCTTCGTGAGTTTGGATTGGCTCGGGTCCGACCTGTTTCGACCTCCTTTCTCCGGCGAGCTCTCCGGCTGGCCGCTCTGCTGGTGGCCGAACTCGAAGCTGAGCCGGAGTTCTCCCATCTGACAGCGAGGGAGAACGTCGGGGATCCACTCGATCACAAACGGACTGGCCTCCTTCTGGTCTGCGGAGCCCGGTCCTGTAAATAATATACACGGTTTTAGTCTTTATAAGTAATCTTTAGGTGAAATTATGATTTTATCTGTTAGATTTTGATGATATTTGTCAGTTAAATCATCTTTTTTGTTGTTTTTGTGTGTTTCTTTAAAGAGTTTGTCCATTGTTGTCCATTGTGTTTTATTTACAGTATATGTGCATTACGAGGTGTACTGTGATGAGTAATGTGAGCAAGAATAGCGGCTGTTGTGTCTCCTAATAAACAAATAAAGAGTCACTCGCCGACTTTGAGGAAGGTGCGGAGCTCCATCGGTCGTATTGCCTGCGGTCGCTCCGTCTTTATTCCGTCCTGTAACTGAGGTTCAGGCGGCGGCTCGGGGCAGTGAAACCGCGAATAAGAGCCGTTGGCGTTCTTTACGAAGCTGTGAGAGAGCTCGAGAGGCAACTGGAGGACACACAGGGAGGTGGAGAGAGATTAATCTCACAGAATAATAATAATAATAATAACTTTATTTATATAGCACCTTTTAAAAGTTTACAAATTTAAAAATACAGAACACCAAAATACAACAATAAGAGCAGAAGAGAAGCTGTAAAAGTTTAAATAAACAAATAAAAAATGGAATAAAATAGAATAAAGTAATAAAAAAATCTTCAGTCTGGTTTTTAGACATAATCTACTTTATTTTATTGTATTTCTTTATAGATTTCATTATTTAAAATTATTATTTTGATATAAAAATACAAAGAAATTGAGTTTTTGTGTGTTTTTTCTCACGTTGTTAAACAGGAGAACAATATAACTGAGGATGCAACATTAAAGGGTTAAAGTGACATTTTTCATTTCAATTTTAGTATTTTAGTATTTAATTACTTAAAGCAAACATTCAGCTCTCAGTAATGAATGTACACGGCATCCAACTGGAAACGTCTCAGCTCTTCAGCAGCGACGTTTATCGTATAATTTAAAGTTGTTTTGCTGACATTTTTCTGTGTTTTACAAGCATAAAAACAGCAGCTCAGCTGGATGTGGTAGCAAACGTGGTTTTGGTTGTCTGACAACAAAAACAGAAAAATATGTGAATTCGGCTGCATTGAAACACGTCCGCCGTTATTCTCAGGCTGCAGACAACCTCCTCCAATGAGGTCGAGGAGCCTGGATGCAATCTGAGAGGTAAAAATTGGGGCAAGAAAAGACGTTTTTATCAACTTATTATCTTTTTGGCAGCTGGACTGTTAAAGGAACAACTTTCTGAGAGGTTTTTACAATGAAAATCTACCTGAAACTTTAAATACAATATAAATACATATAAGAAAGAGAGGAGGGAGGCAGCGTTTACCTCCGGGGTGTCAAAGATGCGTTTGACCTGCATGATGTCGGTGATGTGCCAGGTGTACTTGGAGAAACAGCCGCTCACAAACGCTGTCCACGTCCACAGAAAAAGACATAAAGAGAGAGAGAGTAGATATTTGTTCATTCAGATCCTTTATACACAATTAAAAGTGTTAATATAACGATGTTAAAGTCTGATTGTGCTGTGAAATGTCCCCTGTGACTGATTATTACTGTATATGTGACATTATTAGAGATAAATCCGAGGGGTCGTTAGACGATTAATGAGGGTTGGAAAGAAGTAAAAAATGTTATGCAGCACCAATTTATATTAATTTTTGTGCTTTTTTTAGCTGTTTTTGTGAAATATTGAATCATTTTAACACTTTAAAGGCTCGAAAAATGATTTTAAAAGAAACCATCTGAGAAGTTTAAAGGGGAAAATGTCTGTTTGGTGGAACTGCAGAATATTTTATACCATCTGTAAACGGCGCCTACTGTTTATTAACCAGAATACTAATAAACAGACAAACATATACATATATTTATGTATAAAAAAAGCTCCAACTAGACTTATAAAGGTCAAAATGTTTGATTACTGCTTGCATTGTACTTTTTTAAAATATTCATATAAACTCTTAATCTGCAAAGTAAATACAGTTGTCAATATTTCCCTCTAAACTATCACAATATTGTACTAAAACACGTTTATACACAAACTGCCTCATTAACGACGTCTCATTAATTCAGTTAACATTTTTTCTTCCACCTGTTGTGAAGTTGGGCAGCCTTTTCTTCTTGGAGCTCAGCGACAGACGCTGCTGCAGAGCGTTGAAGAACTCCTGAGGAATGTGGTACACCAGAGGTTGAGGTTTCCCTGACAACAACAACAACAACAACAACTTGTCTTTAATTGTGCGCAACAACCAAACTAACAGGAGACTCTGTAAGTTTTATGTTTTAATTAAAAGCTTTCATAAACACTTTCTTCCCAAGACTTTGATAAGAAGATTGATACCACTCTGAGGCCACAGCTAATTAGCTTAGCTTTTTATTTTTATTTTATGTAGATTTTAAGTCACAATTTATGTTGGATCCTTGTGTCCAGTCTTTATGCTAAGCTAAGGCCAGCAGTATCTTCATATTTAGCATACAGACACATCTAACTTTTGACAAGAAAGCTAATTAAGTGTATTCCCCCAAAAAGTAGAACAATTTCTTTAAAACCCAGTTCAAAATATGGGATTTTAGCCCTGATAAGTCAACTATTTTAGGAGATTCCTGCACTCTTTTCTCACTGAAACGGCGCAGCTACAACAGAGGCAGAGGCAACAAAATGTAAAGTTTGTCCAGAATACAGTTAATCTTAATTGATTATATTGATGCCGAATTGACCAGAAGACCGTTGATAAATAACAACCTTTAGCTCGTGTTTCTAGAGTCATTTGTTTGGACGGACACATAAGGAATTGTTTAAATGCGCCATTTCTTAAAGGGAGTTTGGAGCAGGGAGCTCAAAACTCACTATATTTATCATATTTAACACTTTGTCACCTTTACACAAACATTAGGTAGCTGTTAAAGTCTGATAATGTTTTCTGATGTTAACTGATGTTAGTTATTAGTTTGATTAACGGTTTAATAATGCGTATTGATTACTGACACTGGCTGATCAGCTTGTTTAACTCAACTTTAACGCATTTTTTGCATGTTTTTCTAACTACTTTCCTAATTAAACATGTTATTAATGATGTTATCATTATTATTAATAATGAGATCAGTCAGCTTTACCATCAAACTGGTAGTGCATCGTCTGGTGGATCCTCTCTGTGACCCCGGCCAGCCACTGGGGGAAGCCCATCACCACCGTACGCTCATCCACACCTGAACACAACACAACTGCTCGTTATCTGCTTTAATTCTGAGCCTGCCGCCCACCCACATATTTCCTCTTTATAATCTTTAACTAATTAAATGTTAAAATGTGCTCCGCTACAGTGTGGCCCCCTGTTCTTTTAAAGCTAGTGGATGAGGGATTAGCGCTGCAGGATTAGAGGCAGAGAGGAATGATAAAAGATAGAGACAGATGTCTAAGACGATGTAAAGCTTCTTTAACGGACAGATTTAGGCAGCAAAGATGAAAAGAGAGAGAGAGAGAGAGACAGAGAGAGGAGGGGAGGTGAGTAGTGAGGGAGGGAGGGCAGCACCTGGAGCCTTCAGCCCACCAGCACCAGGGGCTTTCCTCTGACCAGCTTTCCTCAGGCCGGAGGCCGACACTCCCTCTTTCCCCACCCCAGAAAGAGAGGCCACTGATGGGCAGGAGAGTAAAGGAAACGAGGGGGAAAGAGAAAAGGAAGGACAATGAGACAAAAACAGAAGAAAAGTGATAAAAAACTTTGTAATAAAAATCAGTTGAAAGATGAAACAACCAGAGAGAGATTCACAGAGGCGGAGCTTCTTGGTCTGGTGGTGGGAGTTGAGCGGTACGACCTGCTGCAGGGGCTTCTCGCCGGGCCCCCTGCTGGTGGAGGTCGGCTGCACGCCTGAGAGGGAGGACAGAAAAACGGGGTTGTTTTAGCTTAGCTTAGCATAAAGACTTGAAACGGAGGGAAACAGTTAGCCTGGCAGTGTCTGAAAGTTACTATCAGACCAATGTGAGATGATTGATAGCTAATTGATGGTAAATGAAGCCTAAACTGCAGTTCCTCAAACGGCCACTTGAGGCTGGCTCCAGCAGTGAGTCAATCTCCATAAAGCCCCATATTAATTTTCTTGGCTAATTATTAAAATAAAATAAAAAAACGTACAAATTCTTAAACTTGGCTCAATAAAATGAACAAAATGTTTAAATTTGAGTCATTTTTTCTTCCGTTTTAAACGTTTCCGTGGAAATATTTTTATGCTAGTTTGAAGAAAATAATAATCAAATCAATGCGAGAAAATGTTTTATATTTAAGAATATTTGGTTTTTTTCTAGGTATTTCGCGGTCGCCTTTAACCCGGGTCTGAAGGATCGGTCGCGTACCACTCGGGTTGTAGTTGATGAAAGTGGCGAACTCTGAGGCCAGTTTCTCGTCGCTCCCGAAGGCACACACGCAGTCGTAGAAGTGGAAGGCAGGGTTGGTGCGTGAGCGAGGCGGGAGAACTGGCGGATCCTTCAACGCCAGCTTTGCTTCTTCTGCCGCTGCCGCCACCCGGACAGCGCACTGGAAGACGCCCTGCGGCTGCTGCCTGCTCCCGGCTCCTCCGTCCGCTCTTCGTGGCCTCCGACAACCGTCGCGCACCCACGTGAGGTGCAGCAGGCCCCAGAGGATGCTGGGAATCCGTGTGGCACTTCACCACCAGGGTGTCTTTTGTGACGCGCTGCACCAGGGCCCGGGGACTCGGTGGCGAGCGCCCACAGCTCCCTCCCTCGCCTGAACCGAGCCTGCAGGCCCTCCAGGACGGAGCTCTTCAAGGTCAGCGCGTGCGCGGCTGCGGCAACTCTATGGCTTGCTTGATGTGGACGCAGAGGCTGTCGGCCGCTGTTTGGAGCCGCCGCCGCCCGCCACTTTCTGCTCGCCCTGATTTGACCTTTGACCCTGCCTGCAAGAGGCAGAAAGCAGCTGCCCCAGGTTGATGCGGGTGAGCAAGGTGGTGCCGTCGCCCGTGGCGATGCGCGTGTCAGTGGGAACGAGTTCACCGAACCCGAGCTGCGTCGCGTGGGCTCCTCTCCTCTGTGACAGACCGAGAACACCTGCACGCCTCCGCCGGCGCCGCCGACCAGGACGCCCCCTCCTTCCCTCCTCGCTGTCTATTATCACCTTCACCACCCTCACGGCCGTGCTCTTGCTCACCGCCGAGGCGTTCCTGAGGGAGATCCCACAGGCCTTGTTCTTGCAGCTGAGCCCACGGGTGCCGTTGTAGACGCCACACTGCGGACACTTCCGGATGCCGCGCAACGTGGCCCTGCCCAGGTGGAGAGGAAGGCGGGAAGTCGTTGACGTGGACTTCCTGCCGTCGCCTGTTTTGCTGCAGGTTGGCGGGGGGCGGTGGAGGGTGTGGCCGCCCGCCAGTTGAGGAGGACAATTTCACTTCAGTGGTCCATTTGGGAGTTTTAGGTTGGAAGTAAGGGGCGTTCAAACCTTTAAAAAAAAAGGGAAAATAATAAATATGTGGAACTGACAGAACTTCATATTAAAAATAAATAAAATAATAAAAAATAAATCACTCTATAAACTTTAATCTAAAACATCTTTTTTTTTTTTTTTTTTAGGGGGGGGGGGGGGTTAAGTTTTGCTTGCACATTATAAACAGTTACATCCTCCTTCAAAATCTCATGCATGTGTTTAACTACCTCCCCGTAAACGCACCATCGGGTCACACGCGTCCGCACCGACTGTAGTTTTTTAAAACGGGTCTTTAAACTACCTGCGATCCGCTTCTGTTTGGTCAAATCCAGCTCGACTCTGGCCTCCAACACCGCCTCGACCGTCGCATTCCTCTACATCCGACCGCCGCATTGCGCCTGTACGACACTCCCGATTGGTCGGAGCGATCACGTGGCGGGAACGGTGGGCGTTCTCTCGCTGGGAGCGCTGCATCATGGGAGGTGGAGTCGCGCCGGGGTTTGAAGGTGAAGTGGTTTTGTTTTATGTTTTCTTTTGGTTTTTTTGGTGTTTTTAAAGAGCAGAAAACTGAGCAAACTTATTGTGAAGTGTTAACTGCCACTATAATTTAATTATTATTATGGATTTGGTATTGGGGTTATACATTTTAGGTGCTGTTTGTAGTCTCACTACATTTCAGAGGGAGATGGTTTTTACTTTTTTCTTCACTACATTTATTTATCACTTAACAAACGAAGCTTCTAGCATTCAAAAACATGCAGTGATCTTATAAAATATTATGTTTGGTTATAAATTAAATCTACCCAACAGCACATACAAGTACACTGAAATGATTAATCATTAATCAACCAACAGGAAATTAATTACCAACTATATAGAATAATTGTTTCAGTCATTTCATGTTTAATAGAAATTATTTTGATTTTAATTCATTTTTAATTCATTTTGTACCATTAGTTGAACAAACAAGCATTATGAAGGTGTCACTTTAACACATTTTACAGATCAAAACAATCAATTGATTAATAGAGATAATTATAAACAGATTATTGTAGATTATTATATAAATAATACACCAAACATCCTTTAGCACCGGCTGTATTCAGCTTTTTAGAAATAATACTTTGTATTTAGTGCTAATTAACAAAT